CAGTTATAACTTTCTATGTACCTTAATAATATAGCTCAAAAATATGTAAAGCAAAACTTGACAGAATGATATGAAAATAAAAATGCATAGCCATGACTGATAACTTTGATAGAATTTTGAGTCAGAATGAGTCTAGAAAAAGGCAAAGTTCCTTCTCATAGGAACTAATATATAGACTAACAAGAACTAAGAGACAATATTTATAGATAAAAAGTCAGCAAGGGAGACTGGGAAGATGACTCAGTGGGTAAAGCACTTGCTCTGTAAGCATGAGGACCTGAGTTTGGATCCCCAGCCATCATATGAAATCCAGACTTGGAAGCTGGGCATGGCAGTGCACCCCTTTAATCCTAGCACTTGGAAGGCAGAAGCAGGTGGATCACTGTGAATTAGAAGCTAGCCTGGTCTATATAGTGAGTTCCAAGCCAGCTGGGACTGCAGGGAAACCCTGTCTCAAAAAAAATAAAAAAGGAAGAAGGAAGGGGGGAAGGAAGAAGAGGATGAGGAAGAGAAAGGAGGGAGGGAGGGAGGAAGAAGAAGGAAGGGAGGGGGAAAAAAGCCACACATGGCAGCATGAATATTAACCACAGCATTTGGGAGGGCAGGGATGCAGATGGGAGAATCCCAGGGGCTGGCTGACCAGATACCCTCCAAAACAGTGAGCTCCAGGTTCAGTGAGAGACTCTATCTCAACACAGATAAGGTAGGAAGGGATGGAAGAAGACACTTCACATCAACCTCTGACTTTCACGTACATATGCATGGGCAAAGCACATACACACACACATACACACACACACACACACAGATAAAATTTAATGAAATGTAGAAGTCAGCAAGGGTGTTGATCTCTACACCACTGCAACGTAAAGGGACAGTAAATAGAACAATGTACCGAACAAATACAAAGGTTACCAATCTGAACTAAAATTGAGATGACGCTAGACCATAAAGCAAAGTATCAAGAAACTTCAAAGAATCAAAATGACAGCATGTTTCTAGCCATGATAAATTAAACTAGAATCCAGTAATTTTTTTTAAAATTTTCCAAATACTACAATTTCTTGACTTAGTCCATGAATAAATGTTCTTATTAACAACAGTGATCAGATATACTTTATGCTTTCTAGAGCTAAAGCTGTGTGTGGTAGGAGAGAAAAGGCACACATACAAATAAGCATCACACAGGGTATATAGAATATGGCAGATGCATTACGCTACAAGGAAAGGCTGTGGATGAATTTGGAATTGGGAACAAGCACATGTCCTCTTCCCTATGAGGACAGATGACTGGGGTTAATATACACGCTGCCATGTCTGGCTTTTTTTCTCCTTTTCCTTCTTCTTCCTCCCCTTGACTCAGGAGTAGAAGCTTCTAGGCTACTTCTTACAGAATGGAAGAACTGGATCGGGCAAAAACTGGAAACAGAGGCAGTTGATGCAAAAAAGAGGGGTGTGACACAGCTACAGATGAGGGCCAGTGCAAAACATACTGATTGTTCAGTTATTGGCACAACAATAGGCTATCAGGAGTGCCACAAGGTAGAAAGAATGAAGAGGGCAGGTGCCGAGAGCCTCAGAATGCCAGGGCGCGGGTATTACTCTGACACCCACAATGGTACTCACAAGAGACTGTTTAAGCAGAATAAGTCTAGGAAAAGATAAGCTTGGAGGAGGAAATCTGATAGGAAATGGACCAGCGCCTGTAAACTTGGAAGCAGGAAGAAGCAGGGAGATAGGGAACAGAACAGCCACCTTGACAGTGCTGTGATGGGGGAGGGGAGAGAAGGAGCAGGCCTCCCTCCCAACAGAGCCACCCACATCCCTCACTTGCACAGCAGTCTAACAATGCATTAAAATCACTGCCTAATTGCTCCTTTCAAAGTTAATGCTCTCAAATGGGGAAGTGTGTGTTTAATGTTTAGTCTCATCTCTGCCGCCCAAGCCCCAATTTGAAAGCCAAATCTTTTTAAAAATAGAATGAGATAAACCCCTAGACACAGCTCCGACCCTCAGAATCCCACGTTTTCTTTCTCAAATCCATCTTTCTTTGGATATGTCTCTGGCAGTTTGAGCAGGTGACCCGGGATAGTTGTCTTGATAGAATCTTTGAAAAGCTCCAGTTCCCTCCCCGCCCCATTCTTGAGCTCTTAGGCAAAGCCCCAGGAACTCTCCAGCTAGACGGAGGCATAATTATGCTTCAGGTCCCTTCAAGTCCACAGCCCCTTTCCCTCTATATGAGCCTGTCCGTCGGAGCAGGGTCACCCACAGGACTTCCTAGTGACACCCAGTCTCAGCAGGAGCTTCTTCCTCTCCTGTCCCCACTGAGCACTGCGAACAATGAATGTGGCACAATTTCTGCACTGGCTGCCCTTTATGGGTCTACAACATCCTCCAGCAGTGGGTCTGCAACACTGTTAGCCACTGACACCCTGGGTTTAACTTTCCTACTGGAACACTGACACAGAAGCAAGAGGCAGAAATGAAATGAGCCCATTCCACTGCCCTTTCTAGGCACCTAAACCCACCGGGCACCCTTCCAGCCAACCCTGCTATAAATTCTCCTACTTCTATTTCCTACTAGTGTTTCCTACCTAAAGCAATTTCCCTAACTTCCTTGGTCACCAACGATAGTGATGCTACCGCATAGTTTCACAGTTCCCACCTTAAACTTGGAGAAACTTTCTCTTTACCATATCAGCTAGATATAGATCCCACGTCTCTAGGCTCCCTGGAACAGCTCAGTCCTGGCTTTGTCTTCAGTCTCCTGGCTAGGTCCTTGAAAACTTCGTCATTAAACTTTCTGAGTCTCAGTTTCCTTATTTGCAAAGCAAGGATGAGAATATTAGGTGTATCAAGGTGGTTGTAAGAATCTAGTGAGATAGGGGCTAGAGAAATGGCTCAAAATGGCTCGGTGGTTAAGAGCACTGACTGTTCTTGCAGAGGACCAGAGTTCAGTTCCCAGCACCTACATGGTGGCTAACAACTAATCATAACTCCAGTTTCAGGGGATCTGATGCCTTCCTCTGTCCTCTGTAGGCATTGCACATACATGGTACATTTACATCATGCAAGACACATAAAATAAAAACAAATAAATCAAAAAAGTTTTTTTGATTAAATGAGATAAGCCAGGCATGGTGGCTCACTCCTTTAATCCCAGCACTCAGGAGGCAGAGGCAGGCAGATCTCTGTGAAATTGAGGCCAGCCTGGGCTACATAGTGAGTTCCAGGCCACCTGGGCCCTCGGGGAGACCCTTTCTCAAAAAGCAAAACAAAACAATTAAATGAGATAAGATGTGTGAGTCAGCACATATTAAAGCTGAGAAAACAGTAGTTATTATTACAATTTTTGATTGTAGTCATCTCAAGCCCTGGTCTTGACTTGAAACTCATACATCCTTCCTGTGCTGGGTATGTTCACCTGGGCTTCCCACACATACACCTCAGCGTCAGCATGACAGAGTATGCAAAGCTGGAAAAACACAGAGCTGAGAGTATGTTCTCTCTGTACACCTGGCACAGTAGCCTGCCTTTTCTCCCATGCCTTTCAGTCCTGTTGACTACCTGAGAATGGGTATCACGCTTTGCTCTGATAAGATGAGAAAGTGGAACTCAGAGAGGAAATCAGGTGTCATGCCAAAGTTTACATGATTAACAACTAGCAATCCGGATTGGAACTCTGCTCTGTCTAGCTCAATAGTTCTCTTTTCCTTCTGCTGTCTACTAAGTTCATGGTGCTAGATGTGGGAAGTGCTCAGAGAAGCAGTCAGGGAGCTACATCAGCAGCTAAAGAGACTGAAGACTCAAGTCATCATATGACGAGCCAGTGAGTGTCAATACCATTGCTAAGAAGTAGAACCACTTCTCCTACTGATGAAGTCTCTATCGTGAGTTTCCCTGGCTCCCATAGAAAAACAGAGCAAGAACATTTCCAGGAAAACTTTTCCCTTCCTAGAACTGAGGTAAATGGTTTCTGATTCTCTTGAGTGGCAATTATGGTCTCTGTTACTTGGCTTTTCATCAATGTGACATAATATCTGAGAGAAACCCCTTAAAAAGAGCAAAGATTCACTTTGGCTCATGATCTTAAAGGTTTCAGTCTATGGTTGCTTGAACCTATTGTTAGGGGCTTATGTTAAAGCAGAACATCAAGGCAGGGAGCTCATGGTAGAGCAAAGCTGCTTACCCATGGTGGCCATGGAGCAGAGAGAGAGAGAGAGAGAGAGAGAGAGAGAGAGAAGAAGAAGAAGAAGAAGAAGAAGAAGAAGAAGAAGAAGAAGAAGAAGAAGAAGAAGAAGAAGAAGAAGAAGAAGGGTTAAGTCTCGACCCCAATAACCTACTTTCTCCAACTAGGCCCCATCTGCTAACAGCTCTTTCACTATGAGCCTATCAATGAATTAGTCCTTTCATCAGGTTTTCTTCCTCCTGATCTGATCACTCTCAATGTCACTACCAACTGGGAACTGAGATTTCAACATAGGAGGCTGTTAGGGGGACAATTCATATCCAAATCTTAAGGTGGTCCCTGACTGGGCTCAGGTAAAAATACAGAAAAAGGGACAATGTGAAGAAAAATGTGGGAACGAGGGAGAAAGGAGGAAGCTGGTAAACCTTGGTGGAAAGTACCAGCACGCTTATGCTTCTGGCCACGGCTGAGGTCTCACCTTCCCTTAAGAGGATCTTAAGAAGCAAAGTCTATTGTCATGCTCTGAATGCAGCTAAGCCTGGGGGTAAGATATAGTCCAGGCAGAGTACTTTTCAAACATTAGTATGCCACCAAATGCCCGGGGACTCTTGCTGAGAGCAGATCCTAACTCAGAAAGCCTGGCATGAACCTGAGAGTCTGCAGTCTAACAAGGTCCAGGTGATTGCCATGCTTCTGGCACACAAGTCACACTGAGTAGTGAGGGTCCAAACACCTTTCCCCTGCCGTTTTTGCCTTGGCCCCTGGGAGTCTTGCTATTTCAGCACCCTGCCTGCTGTGTTTTTCTTCATAGATGGTCAAAATGCCACGTGCATGGAACCCGAAGAGCTGATGGGGTGGCCCATCAAACAGGTGGGGAACCCACTCCAGTACATGTGCATCACACACCTGGACCACAAAGACTACATCTTCCTTCTGCTCATCGGCTTCTGCATCTTTGCTGCAGGCACTGTGGCTGCCTGGCTCACAGGTGTGTGCGCTGTGCTTTACCAGAACGCCCACCGAAAGTCAAATGGGGATGATGCTGAAGATGAGGCGGGGCACAGAGTGTACGTCACAAGGCAGATTTTTCGAAGCACTACTAACCTGGACCAGAGCAGATTCCCTCAGCTGATGTAGTTGCCAGAGACCACTGCCGTTGTGCCTTCCCTGGTCTGGCTCCCTGCTCGCTCCCTCTTGCCCTCCCATCTCACCATTTATGTCTTGGTTGGAGACTGAAGCCTCCCGGTAAAAATAAATAAAATATTTGATGGTCAATTCAGAGGCTGGTCCTTTCCTGCTCCGCCAGCCCAAGTATGCTTCCTTAAACTCAGCAGAACTGAGTAAATCAAAGTCGAGAAAAGTTGCTGGATTCATCTCAACATCGAGGAAGTCCACCCTCAAAGCAAGTCACCTCATGTTTAGTGAGCATCTACTATCCCCAAAGTGAATGCTGGAGAGAGGGATACAAAAACTACAAGGTTTAAGATCTTCCTTATGGAGCAAACAATTTGCAAGAGAAGTCAAGAGTACTGTGTAGCCGTGGATCACCCTAATTATCACAATGATCCAAAAATATTGGTATAACTTATCAGTGAAAAACTCGGGCCTAGGCAGATACAACTGTCCTTGGTAACCCAACTAGTAAGATGCATGGCCCCCTTTCTCTCCTTTCTAGGAAACATTTAGTAACTGAATCCAAGGTTCATCACATTAAGCCTTGGACAAAGCAGAGCTATAAGGCACACAGAAGGTGCCTCTGGTTACTGAATCCTTATCAACTGCCCTGCACTGTAACCAACTCTACACACATTTTGCCTACTGAGTTAACTCTCAAAACAGCCAGGTGGTCAGATGGTCAAGGCATCATGTTGCTGAGGCATCCAGCCACAGAGTAGTAAGCTCAAGTTTGCACTAAGACCATGCTGAACCATGGGCTTCCTGACACCAAAATTTGTGCTCCATGGGCTGATGTCTAAAGTGCTCATCAGAGCAGCCAAATGTGCACAAGCACGGACCAGCTTTCAGGGCTGCACACATAAAGGGAGCAAAAGAGAGGGGCCGTTCAGTCCAGGCCCAAAGGCCTACTCCAGGTCTTCCTTTTGTTTGCCATGCTCATCAAACCATACTCCTGTTGAAGGTTTGGATTAAATCTCCACCCAGGAGGCTAGCTGCCCCTGAACCCCTAACCAGATCTGTTTTACCTCTATTTCTCCAGTCACCACTTTCCCTTCAGCTTGTTTGACTCAATGGTTTACAGCATGGATCGTGAACGAGGAGCTGGGATCCTATCACCAATTCTGCACTTAATTACTATGGAAATTCAATTTCTTACTTTCAGTGATGGTCTTAAGTGCAGAGACCATCTTGTTTCATCATCCTCCAGTCTCTACTGACACAGTGTGTGTCTTACGGTGCCTCACACCAAGTAGGGACTGAATAAACGTTGATCCCTGCATTCCACTCAAATCTCAGCCCAGCAGTCATTCCCACTTTGTATCTGAGGTGAGGAGTGAACAGGGTGAGTTAACTTCTGTGTACCTCAGTTTCTTTCTTTGTAAATGTCAGTCATCACAGTATATATCATCTAGTGAAACTATGAGAATGAAATGAATAGCAATTACAATAAGAATCTATTTTAATAAATATTTTTATTGTGAAAAAATTTTAGACTTAGAGGAAACTTGCAAAGAGAGCTTCCATATGCACCTCACCCAGTTTCCCCTAATCTCATATTACTGTGGTATATTTATCAAAACTAATGAACTCTAATGAATTGGAATACCACTCCTAATTAAATTCCAGACTTTTATTTGGATTTTTCCAGTTTTTTCCTAATGCCCCTTTTCTGTTCCATGATCCAATACAAAAGACCACACTTGCATTTACAATAGTTTTACAATGATAGTAATATGTAACATATATCGAATCGTTCTAGAAGCCAGTGTATATAAATGCATGTGCATATATATCATTAAATCATCAGAATCTTATGAGGTCAGTTTTATTATTATTCCCATTAGGTCATGACATTGAGAATTGAGAGGTAAAATTGTTTGCTAAATGTTACAGAGCTGGTGAGGCCAGAAGTCAGATCAGCTCTACATGATTACATATAGATTGTTTCCTCCAAACTATTCATCAATACTATCTTGGGGATTTAGACTACCAAGGAACTCTTGACAGAAGAAATAGAATTACAGTTTTTCACAGTAGCTTCTCTGCTAAGATCATACCTGGGTCTTCCTACAATTGTGGACTGAGCACCTGATCTAACGAGCTCTGAGAAGGCCAAAGAGCATGGGGCTTCCAGTCCTGCTTCGTGGAGACACAAGTAAATAGGCAATCTCAGAACAGAGTGCTGAGGGAGAGACAGGCAGAGCTCCAAGGGACATAAAGGCAGGGCACCTTTCCAGTAGGTACTAGGGAGTGCTGGAAGCAGTCTCAGAAGAAGAGACATCCAAACTGGAGCTGAAAGGCAGAGGTGGGATTACCCAGAGACGAAGAGGAGGTAGGTGAGAAGAAGGCATTCTAAGTATCAAGAACTGCTTGTACAAAGGTCATGAAGGAGAAAAGAGCCTAACATCATTTTAGCTAGGCTGTATAGTCTAAGGAAAAGAAGACAGGCTGTTAGAGAAAGAAGCACAGACTCTGAAGAGCCTTATATATACCTTGTATTAGTCAGGATTATAATACCCTATGCTGCAGTAACTGATAACTCCAAAGTATCATTGACTTACCACACTTATTTCTCATTTGTGTAAAGTCATCTGGGGGCAGGGCAACCCTCCTCCATCTTATAGCTATAGAACCTAGAAGAGATAGGAGGGAGGCATGACAGGATATGAGATTGGCAGTACTGCATCTTCCGCAGGAGAGAGAGGTGGCAGACCAAGAGCAGTGGGCATAGAGACAAAGAACTGGATGAATTTTAAAAGATCAGAAATGCAGTTGACAGATTTGATGAGTGGCTAGATAGGATGGTGGAGAAGGATGATAGGAAGGAAGATGAAGGAATAAGGAGTTAAGAAGGGTACCCAAAGTTCAGATTTAGACTGCTAGGGAGCTGGTAGCACAGGTCACTGAGGCAGAGAGAGTATCACAGAAAAATTGGCCAAGCAATTAAATGTGGGGAAGAAGAATAAGGGACATATGCAGAAGACACAGGAGCAAGATGGAGAGCTAACTGCTCCCTCTCAGTGGAAGTCAGTAGACAGTACCTGAAATTGAGAAGTCAAATAGGAACAATGTTAGGGTACCTTTTGGAGATATCGAAAGAACTTGTCAAATGCATTTCAATTGTTTCTGGAGAGGGAGAAGCATGGGGACGAAGAATGGAAGACTACTGTTTTCATAACTACTGATGTACGACTACTACTTTTTAAATAAATGACGTGCGAGTATATTTGATACAAATGAATGTTTGAAAATAAAAGGAACAGATGAACTGATCTAGGAAGTGGCTGTCTTCCTCCAAGAGGCATCTTAACCCATCATTTACAGATGGTAGCCATTGTGACTCCAAAGGGTAACATGCCTATATGAGTACAGTACTCACACCACACACTGGACCTCATGAGTACTCGGCCCCTGAACTTGGGTCCCAGAAATATCAAGGAGGGATTTTCTATGGGAGGCCATGCTTGACCTAGATCTTGAAAAATCATAGAACTTAGCACAGAAAGGAGCATTTGAGACAAGTGGTAAAGTTGAAAGCATGCAAGAACAACAAAGGTAACTCTGCTGGGGAAGAGTTGTGGTTCTGTTTGGCAGCTTGGAAGATGAACAGACGTCACTAAGAGGGTAGGGGCAGAAGGTTGAGCAGGAGCTTATGAAACTGTTCCATGCAGTGTTCCTCTGAATAAGGCAGACGACCCATCTGCATTAGGGCACTTCAGGCCTTACTCCATCCGTTGGGTCTTTAGAAGGCAGGGGCAGCAATCTACATGCTATCATGTTCTTTGGAATTTTAGAAAGACCTGTTATACAAGAGGACAGAGTCCTAAAACAAGAAGATTGTGGATGGGAGGAAGGAAATGGTCATTAGACTTAGGGCCTCAAAGGCTACAAGAGCCTCTTTGGTCCAGAGTTAGCCTTGACCAACCGGTCAGGCCAAATGGTCCTTCTCTCTGCAAAGGATCACAGATGGTGGGGATCAGCAATGGCCAGCAGTTCCTGCCCACAGCTTACTGCACTTCCTCCCTTGTTAAAAACCTCTACTTCATAAGATAGGGGAGAAGAACACTGATTTCCTGCTACAACTTTTCTTCTTTATATGAATGTATTTCAATGCTTGGATTCAGTTTCCTCAAATGAGGATGATGGAATACATTGCCTCCAAAGCCACCTCAAAACTATGGATAATATAGAATACACAAAAGACTACTAAAAACAAAAAAGGAGACAGAACCCTAACAGAAACATCGACTAAGAATAAGAACAGAGAAGAAATTCTTCCAAAGTGGCAAGCACATGAAGGTATATTTACTATCATTAGAAACCAAAGAAATACACATTAAAACTAGCGCTGTTGTGGCTGGGAAGATGGCTCAGTAGGTAAGAATGCTCACCATGTAAGCACAAGGACCTGAGTTCAGATGCCCAAAATCCACATAGAAAAGCTGAATATGGTTGCATAAACCTGTAACCCCCATTCAGAGTGTGAGAAAACAGGCAAAAGATTGTTAGGGCTTGGTGGCACCCACCCCAATTTTAAAAAGTTCCGGGTTCAGTAACACACCATGACTCAAGCGAGTAAGACACAGAAGGCAGAGGAGAATAAACAATGTACTTCTCTGGTCTTCACACACATGAGCATGGACATGTGCACCTGCACACACATGTATACACACACACAAGGGGTGTCAAGTTAGTCTTATTAGATCAGCAAAACTTTGACATCTGGATTGACCTTCAGGAACTTCTCACTCAATACAACTTGGCATCTTGGAATGGGAGGCTGGAGCACCGATGAAGGAGCAGGGGCAGTGTTAACTCCCCTCCATGATTTACACTCGCCAAGCTGGAAAGACATTACTGTACCCAATCCATGGGTAAAATAAACTGAAATGTTTAGCCAACCAGAGCTCCCAGAAATCATGTTTTGTGTATTTCATTCTCTCTCCCTCTCCATCTCCCTC